TTTTTGTGTGTTTGTAGTAACAGAGAATCCGTGTTCCACATGGCAAAGTAATTCACCATCAAGGACAAACTATAAAGGGTGGTAATTAAACCTGTGGTGCGGGCCTACTCCAGGCAACTGGCCTGAGGAACAGGCCTGTTGAGGACCAGGAGGCTGCAAACAAGGCACCAGGCCTAGGAGCTCAGGCTACTACTTACACGGCATTCCCTAAGGGGCATGGATAAAACTCGAGCCACACACAGTATTTCCTGTCACAGAGCAGGCTGATGCTGCCTAGTGAAATAAGCAAGGAACTTGGAGGAGTTAGAGGACTCACACCCAGGAGTCTCAGTACTGGCCATTTCTGAGCACAGGATTAATGTGAGCTTATAATGAGAAAATATAAGACAGCACTTAATAAGCTGCAAAGCAAGTTATTTTTAGATCTTGATCCTCTCAGTGTTTTTATATATTCTCCCTTTAAAGGGATTCTTTCCAATTTTGTTCCAAATGGTGATAAAATATAAACAATGACAAAGATGACTTCTACTAGACAAAAACAAAATGAAAAACAACCAACCGACCAACCAAAGGCCTAAATCTTGTATGCCAAGATGCTTCACATGATTCAGACAGAAAAGTAACAGTAACCGTTACAACTTTAATGAGATCATAATTTGAAGTTTATCTAAATAACTTCCTGAGCTTAGTCTCTATAATTCTAAGCTGGCTTTCACTGTTCCTAACACGAATCCCTGGACATAGTAGGTGCTTGATAAATACGTATTGTTTGAAATGGGGTCCAGTCTTGACTCTGTCACTTATTAACTTGTAGTGGCCTCCAAGAAGTCATTTAACCTCAGTGAACCTTAGTTTCCTCCAAATGAGATAAAGAGATCTACTCTATAACACACGGTTAGTGTGAAGCTCAAAATTAAACTGCAGAATAGAATTGGTGAAGGCACTTTGTAAATTGTAATGCATTAATAGTAATTGAGAAATTAAAAAGTGAACCTTCTAATACAGTAAAAATATTAAGCACAGCATTTTGAGTAGAAATGCTCCAGTATTTAAAAATACAGAAGCATTTTGTATAAAAAGTATAAAATGTTGTGCTCAACCTGAATACATCAGCAGCAGTTACAAAATGTTTTCTGCTGGTATCCCTTGCAGAATCCGTTACATGCAGTAATTGCAGCAATAATCAATAAGCTAACTGAGTAAAAGATTAATCAGGTTTGTGACTGCTAATGGAATCTCCAGTACCAGACTCAGATTAGTTTCAGAGTCCCTTTGAGATGCTCTTCAAAATCCTTAAACAATTTTAATAAGGATGTGACAAAGTTTAGTATAGTTATCCAAAAATCTAATTAATTTGAAACAGAGGGCCAGATTCAACAAGGGGATAGCAAGAACAATTTTTTGCTTTGTTTTGTTTGCAAGTTTATCAAACAGTGTTCCTATTTGTTATAAACCTAATTCTAATTCTAAAAACACAATTCAATCAATAATTACAACTTTTTTTCTTCATGGAAATCTGCCATATGAAAAACCTGAATTCCAAAACAGCAGTTTAATTTTACAAGGCACGAGTTCTCTATTAAGAGAGAGAGAGAAGAGACAAAGAGAGAGCAACACACACACAGAGAAAAGACTATCACTCATTGAATACCTACTGTGTTGGGCTCAGTATTACACACCTACATTTATTCATTTAATTTGTCACAGCCTTATCCTATTCTGTGAGGATCATCACCCCTGTATTTCACAGACAAAACAAAGGCTTTATCGGTGAATCAAGAAAAATAATTCTTTCAATCTAGTTCATGCACTCAGAACAAGAAATGTATGTTTACTATTTAAAAGCCAAACGGTAAATTACCTGATATTTCTCATACACAAAACATTTAACTAGGTAAAGCAGGCTGCTGGGTGGACTGCTGAGCTGGTGGAGAGCTTTGCTTCCTCATTCATACCCTGTACGGGTTTGGCCAGGCCCCCTGATCTTTCAGGGGATACATGAGGCAGCATGGTGCATTGCAAAGATTCCTGTACTGACCAGGGGCCTTCCTGCCTTCTTCAGTGACCCTCTCTGGCTTGCCTACCTCCCTAGCCACTGTGCTCCGTTTCCTCTAAGTGGTTTTTCCCCACCCATCCTTTAAATGATGGAGTTCCCCATGGTTTTTCATCAACCTTCTCTTCTTATTTTATACTCTCCTTGAGTTAACTTCAGCCACTTCAAAGGTTTCAATTACCAGAGGAGTCATTGAGACTAATTAGGAGCTGATGAATCACAAATCTTTATTTCCAGCCCAGATTTCTCTCCTAAGATTCGGTACATAACCAATTGGTTGTCCACAGGCTCCTCAGATTCAACAGGTCCCTACCTCTCCCACCCCTCCCACATGCCTTAGACCTGTCTTCTGCCACCTGGGTTCGCTATCTCAGTAAATGACATCACAGTGACCTAGTTTTCCAAGCCAGACATCTGAAAGTAATCCAGAGCACCTCTCTTTCCTTCTTCCCCACATTCAATCAGCAGTTTTATTAACTCTACATCTTCCCACCTCTCAAATCCCTCAAGCTAGGGTCCTCCATGACCTAGCCCACCTTCCTTCCCAACCTCATCTCCTATCGTCCCTTCCTCCCCACCTCACTGCCCATAAGACACTGAATCACGGGTAGCTCCTCCT